TCAGAAATAATAGAAGACAAAAACAATGGCCTATTAGCTTAAAATGCTGAAGGAAAATAAATGTAAAGCTAGAATTCTGTACCCAGCTAATCGTTGAAGAGGGGAAGGGTGATTTTTTTTTCATTACACAGCAATTAATGACATGTATACCTACTTTTCCCAGCAACAGTACATTTAGGTACATTCAGAGCATCATTTTTCAAACTACAAGTTTAGTGGGATGTGAAATCATTTAATGAGCTATAATTAACAGTTTTAAAATTAAACAGTATAGAAAATACCCAAGTACATCACACATGATAAGCATAAAGTTTCGTGCCACTGTTTCAGTTTATACACATACACATGTATATAAATATATGTGCCTATACAAGATCATGAAGAAAATGTATTTCTGTGAATCATAGTCAAAATATTTGAAAGCCATTACCTTAGAGATGTTTACACATGTGCATAAGGATGCTCATTGTTTGTGATACTGAAAAACTGTAAGCAACTTTATCGTATATCAAATGGGCAATAGTTAAATGCTGTAGAAAAATTAAAAGTAATTAACCAGATTTGTATAAACACATGGTTCTCAAAACATATTGAACAAAAAAAGCAAGTTGTAGAATAATACATGTATAAATTTTTTTAAATGCAAGACTATACAATATATTGTTTGTAGATATATGTGTATATAGAAGTATAAAGGACACCACACCAAATCTCTTCAGAGTTTAGTTTTACCTATAATGTTTTATTGTTAATTTTTTAAGAAGACCATATATATATATGAGATATATATATGTTGTATGTCTTTTAAATTATATACATAGGAAAAATGAGGACAAAGTGCTGACAACTAATTCTGGGTAGTGGAAATATGGGTGTTTATTATATTATTATTTATATTTTTCTGTACTTTTCAAACTTTGCAAACCAAATCACGTGGAAAAAAGCAACTATAGATTTTTACATCTGTAAACAGAATCCAAATTAATGAATTTGTTGGTTTTTTTTTTCCCCCTTGGAAGCAGCAGCCACCAATCTGATGTGTATTATGTATAAACAGAAAATACAGAAGAGAATCGTAGAAGAAAAGACCTTAGAGTTACTTGTTAAACAAAGGAGGTTAAGATTCAGAGATTTTAACCAGCTTACCAGTAGTCACATAACCAGTTTACAGCTGATTCCAAGTTTCTTACTCTCTATCAAATTGTGAGTCCCTGTCAAGTTGGATAATCATTAAAGTAGTTAGACTGAAAAATACATACATTAAAATTTATGGTTGCAAGTTTCCTGCCTGGCAACAATGTGAAAAAATTCTAGTAGCCAGGTACCCAGCATCAGTCTCCCTCATCTGTTTTTGTTTTGCTGGAGTGATAAAGAACTTAAGACATCTGCAAAACTACATACCCTTGTGGATTTTACACACTCAAGTTTGTCCACTGTAGAACAGAACTAGCAGAATTTTCACAAACTAATGCTGAATAGAAGTGAAAAGAATTCATTTTGAAAAGCTGAAGAAAGCTCATAGAGTTAAGTATTTATTTACTTTGGGAGCAAATAGCAGTGCAATGCAGTTTATAATTACTTAAAAACTTTTTGTAGGTATTATCTTTCAAAGAGGTCTATTCTATTTAGGGAAGACATCTATACTGTCCATGAACCAAACAACTATTCTGAATTCTGTTATATCCTTTACTACATCATTTACACTTTTATCAAGAATGTCTCTTGATGCTTTTTTATTCTGACTTCTCCATCTATTGCCTTTTAGAACAAAATGTGCATGTCTTCAACTGACAGCAAGGAATGCCAAAACTTGTCCCTCGTCAAGTAATAAAATAACCACTGGATATAAATATAAAAGACTACAGAGACAAATACCTACTGGGTAAGATACCTTCAGGATTTGTTACAGGGTGTTTGTATCTGCGAAGGTGGGTACTTTTTTATTGTGGTCTACAGTCTTACAAATGTTGCCAAATCTCAGTTTCTAATACCAAAAATTAACTTACTAAGGAATAAGAAATCTGTATATTATTCTTGGAAATGGAAATTAGAGACCACACGTAATATCATGCAGAGTGTACTCTAACACTCATCTGCTTTGAGTCTGGCTCTTATGCATTTAGGGTCAGCCTACATTGGATAGCCATTTCCCCATTAAGAAAAATACTGTACAGAGCTCACCTGAGCATTGGGAATTTTCAACCTTTCCCAGTTGGCATTAACAAATAATAACACCTTTGGAAATGGAGAATTTTTCTTCCTACATAATTTCCTTTTGAGGCATTTCCTTCCTAGTTAGTTTTAAAGAGCTAACATTTACTATGCATGAGGCATTGTCTCAAGCACCTTGTAAATACTGATTCACTTAATTTTCACAAAACAGTCCTATGAGGTAGGTACTATCACATCATCCCCACTTTTAAATGGAAAATTAAAACACAGAGAAGTTAAATGACTCATCCAAGGTCACACAGCTAGTAAATGTGGAAGCTATGTTGGGAACCCAGTCAGTCTAGCTCTAAGAGCTTTCACATTTAGTCTGCTTCCCTCAGTAGTTATCATTGCCCCCGAAGTGGCAATATGAACTCCTTTTTGCTTTTGGGGGATGTCTGATTTTTCTCTTTTGCATATTTTATTGACAGCATTTATGAATGCAGCCTGTTGTGCAAATGTAATCGACAATTGTGTCAAAATCGAGTTGTCCAACACGGTCCTCAAGTAAGGCTACAGGTGTTCAAAACTGAGAAGAAGGGATGGGGGGTACGCTGCCTGGATGACATTGACAGAGGGACATTTGTTTGTATCTATTCAGGTAAAACAAAGGTTTATTTTCAAATTATTCTGTAATAGGATCTACTTTTCTGAATATCCATTTTCCTAGTCAGGGCCATTGAGATCTTACAAGCTGAAGAGCAGCAGTATCTAAGAGGAGCATCAGAGGAAAGCAAGTGACTGGGAACTTAAGCACCGAAGAGATGAGATGCCTTAGGAGGTACCACGTGTTCCAGAAAAGAAAGTCTCAGAAATAAAACTTGGGTTGAGTACAGTGGCTCATCTTGTAATCCCAGCACTTTGGGAGGCCTAGGTTAAGCCCAGGAGTTCAAGTTTGCAAGTGAGCTATGATGGCACCACTACGCTCTAGCCTGGGTGACAGAGATCCTGTCTCTAAAAAAAAAAAACCAAAAAGGGAAAACTTGGATTATTGCATGACGGCCTGTTATGTACAAGGAACACTTTTTTGGTCTGTGTGGCTATACATGCTTCGAAGTAAGGGAAGAAAACTTTTTTAAATAATCTTGTTTCATGCTTGAGCTATTATTAAAATTTAACAAGTTAATTTTGTAATATCTGAATGTGATGATTCAGGCAGTAACTTTAGGCAACTCACTCCATTTCCGGGGCTCTAGAGAGTTGCCTATGCTCCAGAGCAGAACTTCTCAAGCAGAGGGTTGCAGCTGTGCAGTTACTGATTCTGTGGGGCCGCAGCATCCAGGGCCAAACACATCAGTCTACAGTAGTCTTGGCCATTGACCCCCAGTATGTCAGGCAGAAATCCTTATTTTCTGTGAGCACATTATGTGAGAAAGTTTGGGAAACAGAGTTTTAGAGCCAATCTAAAGGAAATCTGCTGGACCAAGTTTTGGCAGCGAGGCAGCAGGGACCAGGGCAGTGCCCCTCATCTGAAATTTCAGGTTTACTTCAAGGAGGGCACAAGCAGAAGCTTGCAGTTATCTGAATTCAGAATAGTCACACTTATGGATCCCTGCCACACCCCAATTACAGACAATACGTGGTACACAGCCTGCCTTAGACATTGATCTCTCATATGTCTCAAAATAACACTGGGATGAAAGCTGCCTGTAAAATGCCACATAGTGTCCAGGAAGCATCACTAGTTTTATTTGCATTGCTAGAAAATGCACCTCGCTCAGGGGTGGGGAACTTGCAGCCTTCTGATTTCAAGATTGTTCTTTTTTAACCACCAAAGAGGAAAGAAAAGCTTCATCTCTCTCTGCTGCACTGCTATTAATAAAAGGATTTTTTCTGTAAAATTTGGATTCAGTCAAAAGGCCACACTCAAAGATCCAGAAGACCACATATGGGTGGGTAATGATATCCTGCTGCTAATTTTGGCTTAGTAACTATAATTTTGAGTCCCTTAAAAGCAAATGTGTAAACTTTAATAACAGTTTAATGTTATACAAGACTTAATATTATATGAGAGCTGTAGGTACATATCACAGATTTAAGTAGGTCATTTTATTAAAAAGAGTGTAGGTTTCAAATGATAAAGCCTTTTTAACTAGACACAAAAGCTACAATTTTAAGACTAGAGATCACCTCTCTAATTTTCTAAAACATTTTCTGATGGATATTTTTGTTTTATATTATTATAGCAAAATCTCTTTGGTATTATACCAAAACAGACAAATGATTCATTTAGATACCCTATATTCTTTTAATATACTGGAAGATAAGAAATCCCTCTCACTGGTCTTTTGTCTATCTTGCAACAGTTTTTTTAAGGATGAGTTAATGTGTTTAATCTTCCTTCTAGAAATGAAGTACACAGTACAGGGTTCTTTAATCATGGAGCAGAAATAGGTATGTCTGAAAGGACAGCATTGCTAATGAACTATCTAACAGGAAAAAACTATCAAACAGAAAGTAAAAAAAAGAGAGAAAAATCACAGCACACAACTGCCCCTTTGTTTGATTAACCACCTGTGGCTTAACTTGCTGTCTTTAAGAGTTTGTTTTAGCAGCACTTGAAAAGAACCAAGCAGACAGCAGGGGTTTGAGCATCCACCAGAACACATTCCAAGGAGACTGATAAAGACCGCCTGGCAGAGAAGAGAAACATAGCTGCCTTCTGTTACCATTTTGCAGCAATAACTTTTTTTTTTCCTTTCTCTTTATCCCAATAAAAACCCCAAACCACTTATCCTCGGGCTGGCACTACTACTTCATTCTTTCGTGCAGTGCCCTTTCCTCTCTTGGAAAGTAAAATAACTTTTCTCTGTAAAACCCATCCTGATCTTTGTGTCAAGAATTCTTTCTCATCCTGTGCTGCAAATTCCCACCCTAATAATGTCCATTTGTTGTTAGCAATTACATTCTGTCTTATGCAAACTTTACTTTTTTCTTTTAGGAAGATTACTAAGCAGAGCTAACACTGAGAAATCTAATGCTGTTGATGAAAATGGGAAAGAAAAGAATACTATGAAAAATATACTTTCAAAAAAGAGGAAAATAGAAGTTGCATGTTCAGATTGTGAGGTTGAAGTTATCCCATTAGAACTGGAAACAGATCCTAGAAGTACTGAAACTGAGGAATGTCCACCAAAGTTCAGTAATAATTCCAAAGAGCTTATCACGTAAGTAAGAGCTGAGGATCCCAGAGTAAATGTAAGTTATTATTGATCAAGAATGGTTCTTTCTCCTTCCTGTCTTTCTTAGTCCCCCTAACCCCTACCTCTGTATATCTTCTTGCTTCACAGATGTAAGTTCAACACATCCTCATTCTATCTGAAAAGCTGTCATAGGTTTTCTTCATTTTTTTTTAACATACTTCAAAAATTACTGACTTAAAAGTGTGATTGTATTTCCTTTCTCGTGAGGAATAGGCATAGATGTTCTTAGATTAATTTCTAATAATAGATATTTATGTAATAGTGACATTATATTTCAAGGTCCAATAAAGATAATTTTTAGTGATACACAGAATAACTTTTTTTTCCTTTTCAGGGAAATGAAGTATAACAATATTTCAAGAATTCAGTATCATTCAGTTATTAGAAGTCCTAAATCCAAGACAGCAACTTTTCAACACAATGAGAAAAAGATGGTAAAAACTACAAAATGTAAATGGGGTCCTTCTGTAAACTATTAGGTTGATACAAAAGTAATTGCAGTTTTGGACCATGAATTTTAAATCATTATAACTGGATTCAACACACCTTTATTAATCAAAATAGGAACCATTACAATCAACACATTTTTGCCAATGAGAAATAAGTTTGTTTATTCCTGTGGCGTAAAACTCCATGCTTTGGGATTCGACAAACTCTTGGAAAGCATTTTCTGCATCCTACTGGTTGTGGAAGCATTTTCCCTGCAAAAAGTTGTTGATATGCTTGAAGAAGTGGTAGTTGGTTGGTGAGAGGTCAGGTGAATATGACGGTTGAGGCAAAACTTTGTAGCCCAATTTGGTCAACTTTCGAGGTATTGGTTGTGCGATGTTCGGTCAGATGTTATCGTGGAGAAGAATTGGGCCCTTTCTGTTGACCAGTGCCGGCTGTAGGCATTGCAGTTTTTGGTGCATCTCATTTATTTGCTGAGCATATGCTCAGATGTGATGGTTTCACTGGGATTCAGAAAGCTATAGTGAATCAGACCAGCAGCAGACCACCAAACAGTGACCATGACCTTTTTTTGGTGCAAGTTTGGCTTTGGGATGTGCTTTGTAGCTTCTTCTTGGTCCAACCACCGAGCTGGTCATTGCAGGTCATATAAAATCCACTTTTCGTTGCATGTTACAATCCGATCGAGAAATGGGTCATTGTGTGCAGTAAGAGAAGATGACACTTCAATAATTTTTTTGATTTTTGGTCAGCTCATGAGACACCCACTTACTGAGCTTTTTCATCTCCCCAATGTGTTTCAAATGCCAAAGGAACATAGTATGGTTGACGTTGAGTTCTTCGGCAACTTGTTGTGTCGTTTTAAGAGGATCAGCTTTGATGATTGGTCTCAACTGGTTGTTGTCAACTTCCGATGGCTGGCCACTGCACTCCTCATCTTCAAGGCTCTCGTCTCCTTTGCAAAACTTCTTGAACCACCACTGCACTGTACATTCATTAGCAGTTCCTGGGCCAGATGCATTGTTGATATTGTGAGTTGTCTCTGATGCTTTATGACCCATTTTGAACTCGAATAAAAAAACCACTCGAATTTGCTTTTTGTCTAATGTCATTTCCATAGTCTAAAATAAATATAAAATAAACATCAAGGCCGGGCGCGGTGGCTCACGCCTATAATCCTAGCACTCTGGGAGGCCAGGGCGGACAGATCGTTTGAGCTCAGGAGTTCGAGACCAGCCTGAGCAAGAGACCCCGTCTCTACCAAAAAAATAGAAAGAAATTATCTGGACAACTAAAAATATATAGAAAAAATTAGCCGGGCATGGTGGCGCATGCCTGTAGTCCCAGCTACTCGGGAGGCTGAGGCAGGAGGATTGCTTGAGCCCAGGAGTTTGAGGTTGCTGTGAGTTAGGCTGATGCCACAGCACTCTAGCCAGGGCAACAGAGTGAGACTCTGTCTCAATAAATAAATAAATAAATAAATAAACATCAAGTAATACATCATTAACAAAAAAACATAGCGAGAAATGCATATTAAAATGATGTATAACATAACCACATTTACTTAATGTATTCCAGTATCTAAAACGGCAAATTTCAACAATGCTAAAACCACAATTACTTTTGCACCAACCTAATGTTATCTCACCTTTCTGTCCCTTACTTAGTTCAAAATGTTTGTGTTACTGAATAGTGTGTAGAATTTCTTTTATTGTTTTGGAATGCATGGGCTATTGAAGTACTAGAACCATGTTTTATTTACTTAGTGTCCTCTGTGGCAGTTGGCATGTTTCCAGCTTAGATATGTGAGGAGAATGTTAGTCATGATCTGACAGTGTGCTCTACTGAGACTGAGAGCTATCCCATTCTGAGAATTTGTGGAAGAAGCTAAAGTGTTCAACAGTTAATAGTGATATATAATAAGAAAAGGAACAGAGTAATTTAGGTTAAATAGAAGAAGGTTTTAAGATGTAGCAAAAAGAAGAGATGCAACTTTACAAAAGAATCATATCACATAATTATGAGAAGATTGGGCCATGGGGGTCACATAGGCCTGGGTTTAATCTCTAGCTCTGCCTCTTGCTAGTTGAGTGACATCTCTATACATGTATTTCTTTTATCTGTAAAGGGATAGTAGTATGTATCTCAGAGTTATGAGGATTAAATGAGATAAACACCAGAAACTTGCTTAGCAGAATGCTTGGCACCCAACTAAGTCTTTAGTAAATGTTGGCTGTTCAAATACTGAGAACTTGAACAATAATATTAATGATCAACATTTATTGAACACTTAGTTGGGTGTTTCTGCTAAGCATATAAAGTTAATGTTACCATTTAAAGTGCCTGCATTGTCTTTAATGCGTAAAGACAGGCAAATTCTTTAACCTTTTTTTGAAGTAGAAACTAGCCAATAGGTGTTTTTATCTTTGCACAACTTATGTAATAGTTGAAGCCAAATTCAAAATGTGGTAACAATACTTTCTCAGTACTTACGATGATTAGAGTGATTAGAATTGAGGGATACAGGCAGATGTTTTTGGATTGTAATGCCCAAAGAATGTCTTGATAGTCTTTTATAGCTGTGGCTTAATAAAGCACCTAGAGGTAGAACCCAGTGAGAATGGATGACACATGTTGGCTCCATTAGTCTAAAAGACTTCTTATAGGCCGGGCGCGGTGGCTCACGCCTGTAATCCTAGCACTCTGGGAGGCCGAGGCGGGCTAATTGTTTGAGCTCAGGAGTTCGAGACCAGCCTGAGCAAGAGCGAGACCCCCGTCTCTACTAAAAAAAATAGAAAGAAATGATCTGGACAACTAAAAATATATAGAAAAAATTAGCCGGGCATGGTGGCACATGCCTGTAGTCCCAGCTACTCGGGAGGCTGAGGCAGGAGGATCGCTTGAGCCCAGAAGTTTGAGGTTGCTGTGAGCTAGGCTAACGCCACGGCACTCACTCTAGCCAGGGCAACAGAGTGAGACTCTGTCTCAAAAAAATAAATAAAAATAAATAAATAAAACAAAGACTTCTTATGATATCAGCCTTGAGGCTTTTCAAAACTAATCTAGTACATACAGCCTATGAAGATTGACACTTGATGAAAGAGGCCTAACTGCTAAATACTTTTTCCTGACCTAGAAAATAAAGACATCTTCCTTGTTTTTTTTTTAAGGAATTTATTTCCTTGGAGTCTGTCACCTCAGAAGATAATGATGGATTTAAACCAACCCGGGAACATCTGAACTCTAAAGCCAAGGGAGCACAAAGTAGGCTTTATTTCATTCTGTGATTCCTTCCTCTTCTGCCTGTTTGTCTCTCTCTTGTTCAATACCTGTGGCTCATTTTCTCAGATTCCAAAACAAACATGGTGCATTTGTGACAAAAGTTGCAACTTGTCTACACCAGCGAACTATGGTTTATGGGCCTACTACCTGTTAAGTATGGCATGTGAGCTAAGAATGATTTTTACATTTTTAAAATAGTTGGAAAAAATTTAGAAGGTGAATCATATTTTTGACACTTGAAAATTATATAAAATTATAATTTCAGTGCCCATAAATAAAGTTTTATTGGAAGACAACCAACTTAAATTAAATATTGTCTGCTTTCACACCACATCAGCAGAGTTGAATAGTCACTACAGAGACCACATGGCAGGCAAAGCCTAAAATATTTGCTGTTTAGTCCTGTACAGAAGAAGCTTGCTGACCTCTGGTCTAGCTGCTAGCAGTGACTTGATGCACAACAGGAGGGGTGGAGTAGACAGCTCTGACTCTGTTAATACAATGGCCTTCAGGTATTGTCTATGCTTTGGAAGCATTGTCCAAAGCAGCCACTTTCTAATTCTTTGTTTTGGACTCCTTTAAAAATACACATTATTGTCCCGCTATAGTCTAGCCAACGCTGCTACAGAGGATACTCAACAGGACTGTAGCAAAAGGATAAATGTCACTACCCTGAGTACTTGTCTTTTGGAGTTACCAGTCCCTGTCGTAGCTAATATTACAATTGGACAAACCTTGTTTTGGGCACTTTTTTTTAAGAGACAGGGGCGCTCTGTCAACCGGGCTGGAGTGCAGTGGTGTGATCATAGCTCACTGCAGCCTTGAACTCCTGGGCTCAAACAATCCTCCCACCTCAGCATCCTGAGTACCTGGGACCAGAGGCATGGGCCACAATTTTAATAAAAAAAAAAAATTTTTTTTTTTTTTTTAATTTTTTGTAGAGATGGGTCTCACTGTGTTGCCCAAGCTGGTCTTGAACTCCTGACCTTTTGCATTTTAATGTGTCTGTCAGTATGGAAACATTGTCAAGAAATGTCCTTTTGTGAAGAACTGACTAGCCTTTGCTGCCTCTTCCCCCTTGGACCCTCCCTTGCCTCTGCAGCCCAAACTCTCCCCCTAGTATTAAAAGGTAGAGATTGGAAGAAGCACGGCAGCTCCTTGATAGAAAAGATCTATCAAGAAAGAGCATTTTATGTATTATATTTGACATTTAGTGCATGTGAACAATACATACTATTGCTTTTGGTTCTTTTGCCATGCCATTTTCTTTTCTTTTTTTTTGAGGAGAAGAAACGAGAAGTTTAATTCATTTGCCAGCAAATGAGGAAGATGGAGACTCTTGTTTGAAATGCCATTGTCCTAATAATAAGCAGAAATATGGAGCTTTTAAAGGGAGGCCATTCAGCTTCCTTGCCATCTTCTTTGACTGTTACCATGTGTATAGCAGGCACTCCAAAAATCATAAGTTATACACTTTTTGGATCAAAAATCCAAAGATATATACTAGAGGACTTACCAGTAAGCAGTGATTAGAGTGAGTACGTTTAGGAACAGCAGCCAGCAACAGTAATGATTAAATCAATAGTGGAGTATAATTTCTTTGTGCCACTGAATTAGGTGGCACAAGTGGCTTTTTAAAAATAAGTGATTTTACTTATTCTATCTGACATGCATTCATACTTTTGAATACTCTGAAAAAATTATCTTCCTTATTGGATAAGAAAAATGATTAAGCAGTACATCTACTTTTAAAGTATTATTGTTTATAAAAGTGTAATTATTAAATGGTTATCTAGCAAAACACCAAATACTAATGTGTACAAAACCCTTAGCAATACACTTGTCACTGTTGGGACTTGTGGAAGGTGACTCTGACATGGTTTTCTCTGGCCTTTCATTGGCATCAGAAAGGCCTATGGTGTCTCCAAAACACCCCTCTGTTACATCTGTTTAGAAAATACTTAAATGCAAATTCCAGAGTTAAAGAGAAGAAAGCCAGTTTAAGAGAAGATCAAAGCCAGTCACAGTGGCTCATGCCTATACTCCTTGCACTTTGGGAGGCCAAAGCAGGAGGATTGCTTGAGGCCAGGAGTAGGAGACCAGCCTGAGCAAGAGAGAGACCCCATCTCTACAAAAAAAAAAAAGGCAAAAATTAAAAATTAACCATTGTGGTGATGCACGCCTATGGTCTCAGCTACTCAGGAGGGAGGCTGAGGCAGGAGGATCACTTGAGCCCAGGAGTTTGAGGCTACAGTGAGCTATGCTGAGGCCACTACACTCCAGCCTGAGTGAAAGAGTGAGACTCTGTCTAAAAAAAAAAAAAAAAAGAGTAAAGATTAAATATAGTAATGAGAAAATAACATGTAGATTCATAAAAAGGCATTGTTGTGTAGTAGCAAGAAGTCAGACTTTGGGAGCCAAACATTTCTGGGTTTGTTGCCCCAGTCCTTGTGATTATTATGGGTCAGGTCAATCTCTCAACCTCTCAGAGACTACTTACCTAACACATTGTAAGGATTAATGAAAAAGCAACTGACATCTAATTAGCGTTGTTAATTTCAGCACTGTTGCTCAGCCAAGTGTATTTCCTGACATTTCCTTCCAAAATATCTATTAGAGGACTCAAGTTCAAACCAAGTTGAAGATTCTGAAGACAACCTGCTGATTGCATCAGATGTGATAGATATAACTAGATGTAGAGAAGAAACTCCACCAGGGGGCAGATGTAACCAAGCAACCACATTGGATTGTCAGAATATTAAAAAGGAGTTTGAAGTTCAAACACAAAAGCCTCAAGAGGAACAATCTTCAGCATGTCAAAAACAGCAGATCTTTTGTGACGAAGAGTTGCCAAATGAAACAGAGAATACTTCATCTGATTCTCTAAGGAAGTTCAGTAAAGAGAATGTGTTTTTATTGGATGCCACAAAAGAAGGAAATGTGGGCCGCTTCCTTAATGTGAGTATAGAGGCTGAGATTCATATTTCTAAGCAACTGTTTTTCTGTGTTTCTTAACAAATCAGGAGGAAAATATGATATACAGACTCTGAAGCAGACTCAGACTCTGTGTTAGAGTTACAGTCCTCCATGTGTGTGACTGTGGGCATATTACTTGACCTCTGATGCCTCATTTTCTACCTCTGTAATACAGGGATAATAATAATAACTGTTTCAGGATGTTGTGGGGATCGAATGAATTAATATAAGGTGTTTAAATCAGTGCTTAGGACATAGTAAGCATTTGCTTTAAAAAGCTGTAGAATAGTGTGTAAGGAAAGTATTTAAATAAATATATTGAAAAGTTTTCAAGCTCACCTGACAAGTTGAAAAAAAAGTTTGGACAAGAAGTCGTCATTGAAATTAAAGGTGGCAGACATGCCCAAGGAATATTGTAGAGTTTTGATCCCTTTGTGAATCTTGTAATAGATGAATGTGTGGAGATGACAGCTAGTAGGCAACGGAACAATACTGGAATGGTGGTAATAAGGGAAAATAGTATCATCTTGTTAGAAGCCTTGGGATGAAGATGTATAATGGCTCTGTTCAGCAGGGAAGTCAGTTGCTTACATATGTCTCTCTCCAAAGGGCCTGATTTTTACTATGATATAAAAATTGGGTTGTATACATTCTTCATATTAAACTTCTTTGTGAAAACTGTTTTATTAAAAAAAAAAAAAGCCATACCTTGAGGAGTAGTATGCCCATATTTCATTTCTCCTGGCCCCACTCCACCCTCTATCTATAGATAATCATTTTTATTACTTTCTTGTGTATTCTTCTAGTGTTTGTTCCTGCAAATACAAGTAAACAGAAACATCTTTTTTCTCCCCCTTTTTTGCATAAAAGAAAACATATTATATTCACTGTCGTATACTTTGCTTTTTAAATTAACAATACATTCTGGACATCTTTCCATATCAGTACAGAGAGCTCCTCATTCTTTTTGTGTGTTTTTGTTTATAGCTGCATAAAATTTCATTGTGTGGCTGTACCAAAGTTGGTTTAACCAGTTCTTTTTAAGCAAACATTTGTGTTATTTCCAAACTTTTACCATTAAAAACAATGCTCGATGAATAATCTTACACCTAGACACATATGCAGAGGAATCTGTAGAATACATTGCTAGATGTGGGATTGCTGAATCAAAAGAAAAATGTATTTTGTAATAATGATAAATATTAACAAATTATCTTTTATAGGGGTTTATACCATTTTTGCATTTCTACCAGCAAGATATGAATGTCAGGGCTTTTTTGAATGGGTTCCTGGTATTAATGGAACTATCCTGAGCTATGATACTCTATATATTAAAAAAAGGTACAGAAACAAAATCAGTGGGATGTGTTGGAAACAGAATGGTATTCTAATGCTTTATGGTACAAACTTTATGCCATATCTAACCTCTGTTTAATTTTTTTAACAGCATAGTTGTTGCCCAAATCTCTTGGTACAGAATGTTTTTGTAGAAACACACGACAGGAATTTTCCATTGGCAGCGTTCTTCACTAACAGGTTTGAAATTGATTTTGCTTGGGTGATTTAATTCTGAAATTGTGACTTAAAAATTACAATAGAAAAATATAAAAAGATGATACGTACTGTAGCCCCAAATATCTGGTACCCTAGAATACTCAATTGTCCTAAACTGTTCCTACTCAATAATATTTGAACACCTGAAATTTCACTTCTTATTCCCACTTAGAATTAAAACCCCAAAGGGGGCTGAGGATGTCAGGTCTCACCCAGTTCAATTCAGGGGATAAATGACTCACTGCTACGTCATCTTTAAATCAGAGCTATCCCCCAACTGCTTCCACACTGCAGGCCTCAACATATCACTGGGTACCACTGTTTGCAAAATATGCTTGCTTCTTTATGGATATCGACAGGTTCTTTCTTCTTTAGGATTTTAGTAGATTTGAAATAAAACTCAATGATTATTCTTAATAAAAGATCGTTCCTAATTGGTGGATGTCAGGTAACAGGATAGATCATATTTTTGAAGATGGTTCATGATGTTAATGTAAAATGTGATATAATCAAGTTTGGTTCATTTGGTAGTTATTTTGGGTAATTTATGATTCTTTTTTAATTTCTACTTTCTAGGTATGTGAAAGCAAGAACAGAACTAACATGGGATTATGGTTATGAAGCTGGGACTACACCCGAGAAGGAAATCCTCTGCCAATGTGGGGTTAATAAGTGTAGAAAAAAAATATTATAAATATGTAGCTAATGCTTGTTCATGAAGTTACTTCATAGGATGAAATTAGAGCCATGCAGAAGAATCCTCAGTAGTGGAATTAATTTAGGTTTAGGTGCATCAAGGTAATTCCTCTCAGTTTTCTCTTGTTAGGGGGTTCATATTTTATTTCTAATTTTGTATGTGTGACTTAGAAATGCCAGGAACAAAATAGGGACATTTTCATATGCATAGGGTATCTCTTGTTCTTACTGCTGTTCAACTTTACATGACTAGGATGAAAATGTATATTTTATAAAAAAAACCACTGTACAATTGATAATTTATTTATAAATTAAATATTAAGAGACAAAAATGCCATAGCAGAACTCAGCTGTTTCTAATTGCTTTTTTGATTATTATCTTTTAGTTCATGCCCCAAAGAGCCAAATTTCATATCTTTACCTACAAAATTGATGTTTAATTCCTGGCAAATCATTTACCATTATGAGATACAAGGTCGGTAACAGAGCATGAGCAATATGTAAGAACTTATTTTATGCATATTACTCCCAAATATTTTAACACTTGCTGGAGAAGCTCTGTATCTGGCTCCAATGAAGCACAGTCCATCAACCATCTGAGTGGGGACGGGGAGAAGCTCTTCTATAAGTAAGATTCTGACAAACTCTTTGAGATGAATCTATTTTCCACAGATTTTTTCCACTCCTTCAATACAAACAGGAAAAGAGGGAATAGAAACCTGGAGGAATATGAATATTTTTGTTCTAGATAGAGTAAAGCTATAAGAAAAGGAAATCTAGAAACTAGTCAAATTTGGCTTATTTGGGGCAGAAGGAATTGTGCTAGGCAAGAATGTCACTTAAAAACACAAGAAAACAAAACAGTTCTCAGCTGCAAAATCCGAAACAGCCTCTTGGTATCTCCTGGGCATGATTTGCAAATTGTTTTTCTAGAGAAAAAGGGAAAGAGTTACCACTTTACTACCACTTACCTAGCCTAGATCACCTAGTGCAAAAGGGGACTGGGAAGACCCTAAAGTTAAAACTAATTTTATCCCTAAGAAACATACACATTTGGCTGCCAGGAACTTCCCCTCAGAACCACAATGGGAAAACTAGTTTGAAAAGAAGTAATTAAAAGTAATTCTGGTTTTTGAGGGATTATATGGTTTTTTGCCCATTTTGGACTTGATTCTGGGTTTAGTTTGGTTACCTTTCAACCAAAAATCTATTCTAAGTTTGGACCCAGTTTAATTTCTTAAAAATATTGAACTAGATAAAAACTGAATTTGAAATTGTTCAATTTCACTGCTGGTTCCAATCGCACAGCGCTCATGTTCTCGTGTGCGTGGGTCTGTTGGGCAGGTGTCCTGGAGGGGTGGGGATGGAAGACAGAGGGTCACTTGCTATTGTTGTAGGCACAGGTTATTAAAATACTAAATATTGCAAATTAAAAAAAAAAAAAGTAACCCATTTATAGAATGGGAAACCAAAGAACTAGGAAAAGGAGCCAAAAATTAGAGCCCAACAGCCTACAGATGAGGAAAGTTGACAAGTCCATTTATTCACAGTAAAGGTACAGCAATTTTAAGCAATACACAAAAATAGAGAAACTTGATCAATGTGGGAAATATTTTTGTGCAGAAGGGACTATCGTAGATCTGCCAGTATTTCATTGAGATTGCCTCTGGAGTGTCCATTTGACATTCAGAAACATGAGGTATTCTATCAGTTATCCTCTTGGAGAAATTTCTCCTGAAATCTTGATTTGCCTCAATTTTATGTCAGATCTTTTTCCATGTAGACCCCATTATTTTCCTTTTCTCTGTTTACTCCCACATATTGGTAAAACACATCCCTCAATAGTTTTTGGAAAGGAAAATGAGAAGTATACGTTTTTGAGTCTTTGCATGTTTGGAAATATCTTTATTTTACCCTTACACTTGATTGCTACTTTGGTGGGGTATAGAATTGTTGAGCAGTCTCCATGCCCAATTTTGAAGGCATCAGCTAGCTCTCAGTATTGCAGCTGTGGAGTCTGAAAATGTTCTGTCTTCTGGCTTCCAGGCTGACTATTGGAAGTTGGATGCCATTCTTTTGTATAGATAACTCATTTTTAATTCTCTTGAAGCTTACAGGATCATCTTTCTCCCCATATTCTGTCCCTGGTAAGGGTCTATTTTGATCCTTTGTACTTGGTGCCTGGTAGCATCATTCAATCTGAAAATGAATGATTTCTTGTCTCCTCTCTTTTTGGAATTCCTGTTATCCAGATGTTAGATCTCCAGGATTGATTCACTAATTTTCTTATCTTTTTTCTTCATTTCCAGCTCTGTCTTCTTGCTCTACTTTCCTAGGACCTTTCCTCAATTTAATCTTCCAATTCATCCCTTACTGTGTTTTTCTGGTCTCATATTCTTAATTTCTAAATGCATTCTTCTTTGAATATTCTTTTCTTTAAGGGCATCTGATTTTTGGCTCATAGTTGCAATATTTTATCTCTGAAAATATTTATGTGTGTGTATATATACACAAACACATATATGTGCATTCAGGTCATTTTCTTCTTGCTACATGTTCTGTGTCCTCCAAGGTTTGTTTCTTTGTTTTCCCTGGATGTTTGCGTTGGTCTTGATCTTTCATGCTATAGGCTTTCCTCAGAGTTAGTGATCTTGGTGGTCTACTCATATTTACAAGTGGAACACTGAAAAACTTATTAAAAGAGTATAGGAAAAGGCTCTTAGCTTTACCATGACCTACCTAAACTGTATTCCCATCCTCCTGCCCCAAGAACAAAACAACTTGGCTGCTAGGGTCTGTTCATTTCCCTCTTTTGCAGCCCCCACACTCTTACTTCTGTAATCCATTTCATATTTGTCAAGACTATCCAAGTGCTTTTTAATATTGTTTCTCTCTTCTATCACCAATTTGCATTTCCCTCTTTAGAACCTGTTGAAAGTGCAAGACCTCCAGAGTGTCCCTTTATTTCCTCAGCAAACCACCAACTATTATATGCTTCTTTTCAAGAACAACTTCTGTCTTAACTATAATTATATGCAGTTATGTTTTCTACATGTATATTTATTACATGCACTGAAAACCTCATCTTGTATGGTGCTTTGTACCCCATGGGTGCTAAATAAAGGCTTGCTACTGGTAACTGGATTTAGGATTGGTTAATTCAGCGTCGGTTTAAAGTATGCTTATTTAGGCCAAACTGGGCGTGGATAAAATTTTTAGAAGTAACCCTCAGAAGAAGGATCGTTTCTCCAGCTGAGCCGTGGGGACGTTGTAGGGGCGCCGGGCGATTTGTTTTTTTAAACCTGAGACTCCGCTCTGGAGAAATGTGCTTGAGCACCCATATCTGCGCACCCATCTAGTTCCTTGTCGCTCCGGACTTGCCCGGGCAGGCTGGTGACTCTCAGTGACAGTTCGTTTTCTTAAATGCACGGATTTAAGAAAAGGAAACCCAGCGCAGCTGAGCCACTTCCGGGAGCACAGGCAGAGCGCGCAGCCGTCGGGCCGCCGCCCACCCCAGCGACGACGAAGCCATGGACCAAGCGTCGTGGCCCCGTGCCGAGCGTGTGCGCCGCGACTGCAGCCCTGAAGCCCGGCTCGCGCAGGACGGGCTCCCTTGCCCTACCGGTGAGTACCGCGCGGGGGGGGGTGGGGGGCCGGGCAGCGACTGGCCCGGGCCGGAGGCTGGCTCTCCAGGCGCGGCCGCGTGGGGGTCCTGACCTGGCGCTGCTCCGGGCCGGCCTGCAGTCGACGGGGCAGCACTGGACCAACTGGGCTCAGCGCTCGCGTGCCCCGCGCGGGTGCCCCGAAGAACGGAGCGCGGCCCCGGGCTAGTCCGCGGCGGGAGAGGCGGGCATGGCTTTGGTTTACCTCTCCCGCTGGTGACAGCCCAGGGGTCCTGGCCCTAGTTCTCTGGAACTGCCGGCATCCAGCAAACCCGTGTGAACCCTCCTGCCGCGACTCCACCGCCCGTAACCAATACAGTGGGAGGGGTGCCCTGCTAGGGGGAGGCAGCAGAAGGCCCCTAGGGAGGGGTCTGAGGAGGCAGCTGGGAAAGTTTTCACAGAAGGTGTGACCGGAACCATCTCTCCATCCCGAGGTCCCAGTCCTCCTCAGCCATCTGCTTCAGTGGTTCTATTGGTGGGCTCCTTCCTTCCCTTCGTTTGAGCGTGTATGGACTCCTGCTACGAGCCAGGCTGTGGGGATACAAAGATGAGTCAGGCAGAGTGCCCTCAGAGAGTCCAAACAGGTAACTTTTAATACGAGGTGGTCAGAACCAGAGGCACAAATGAGGGACCCTTAACTCTGCCTGTTCGGGGAAAGCTTTTAGGAGGAAAGGATGTCTGATCTTAGTCTTTTTTTTTTTTTTTGAGATAGTCTTGCTCTGTCGCCTGGGCTAGAGTGCAGTGGCGTCATCATAGCTCACTGCAACCTCAAACTCCTGGGCTTAAGGGATCCCCCTGCCTCCCCAATAGCTGGGACTATAGGCCCACACCCCCGCGCCTGTATAATTTGTTCCATTTTTAGTAGAGACAGGGTCTTGCTCTTGCTCAGGTTGCTCTCCACCTCCTCAGACCAAGTGATCCTCTCCCCGCCCCACCTCTTCCTCCCAGAGTGCTAGGATTACAGGTGTGAGTCACCGTGATCTTAGTTTTAAAGGGCAAATCAGCCAAAGGTAGAGAGGTTGAAAGGATGTTCCAGGAAGAGGATGGGGTGGGACTCATAGGCTGTCCCTAGTGGCTTCTTCCTTCTACATACCCCAGCATCATAGTATCCTAAAAGATCTTGGTTCTTCTAGCTCATTTATTATTCTAGACTGGAGGAAGCACATGACTCTGTAGTTGGGAGAGTGACGCTGGAGACTTTTACATAGATAGGCATATCTTACTATCTGAACTCTTGCTAAGCGTGATTTGAAACTCATTTGGGCAATCTGGTATCCTTTGCCATCTGAACTCAGGAACCGAATGGATTCAGATAGGGAGGGATACTATAGGTGTACCTTATATTTTAGGGAGAAACCCATAGGTTTCCATCAGTAGCTGAGACCCAAGAACAATGACCATCAGCAGTGCTCCCCCGGGGACCTCCAGGTTTAGCAAGCCTGAGGACTCACAGAAACTGACCTGATAACACTACAGGATTTTATTTTTTATATTTTTACCTGCAGGATTTTAGAATTCTCAGAAATGAAATTGGTAGCCAAGGAAGGTTCTACAGAATGAAGCTGCAAAAAGTTACAAACCCAGAACATGAGAACTATGACTCATTCAAACAACATAGCGATTCTGTCTCTCTGGCCATCTCCAGGCCCACCTCCACCAGGGAATGGATTGCTAAGGCTATAGACTCTATAAGGGTATCCTTCCCAAAGCTTCTCTACCTAGAGATGGTCTTAAAGCCCAGCAGACAAGGGCAGTCCACCCAGGAGACAGAATCTGGGGTAGCCAGAAAGGATGGCCAAGGAGCACATTCTGCCAGTAAAGAAATGAGTGAAACTGAAACTATGAATTTGAAAAAAAAAAGAAAAAGAAATGAGTGAGACTGATGAATAAGATTCACTAATCCTATAATTTCATTTACCGCATTCCAGTAGGGTATACTTATGTTCTGACTGGTAAACCAATTTGTGATGCTGGTTTGGAGATTTCCTCCTCTTTTCTACTTTGAGTAATCATTTTCATTTTTAATATAATTTTTATCTTTTTTTTTTTTTTTTTTTGAGACAGTGGCTTGTTCTGTTGCCCGGGCTAGAGTGCCCATGGCATCAGCCTAGCTCACAGCAACCTCAAACTCCTAGGCTCAAGTGATCTCCTGCCTCAGCCTTCCTAGTAGCTGGGACTAAAGGCACTCGCCACCCGGCCTGGCTAATTTTTTTTTCTGTCTTTAGTAGAGTGTGTGGGTATCCTTCCCAGTGAGGGAAACAAGAGTTTTCTCTGGGACATATTCAGTTTGAGAAAATTCCAGACATGGAAGAAGTTGGTTATACCAGTCTGGAGTTTGGGGAGAAGGTCAGAATGGAACTTCATCTCTTGTGCCTCCTCATCTTGTAGCCCATCTATGTACTAGTTGAATGAAATATTCATTTCATATGGTTGCCACATAGGATGTTTTGTGGCTTTGATGCCTTTGTTCATGTCATTCTCTTCCTGGAAAGGAGTTTTTTTTGTTTTTTTTTTTTTTTGAGACAGGTTCTCTCTGTCACCCAGGCTGGAGTGCAGTGGTACAGTCATAGCTCACTGCAACCTTGAACTCCTGGACTCAAAGGATCCTCCTGCCTTATCCTCTCAAGTATCTGGCACAACAGGCGTGCGCCACCACACCCGGCTAATTTTCTATTTTTGTAGAGACAGGTTCTCACTATGTTGCTGAGACTGGTCTCAAACTTCTGGCCTCAAGCAATCCTCCTGCCTCAGCCTCCCAGAGTGCTAGGATTATAGTTGTGAGCCCCCACACCTAACCTGAAAAGGAAATTTTAAACCAGTGGCTAACCGTTATGAATAAGTTAGATCCCATCTCATACTTTTTAATAAATTCCATATTAATTAATATTTTCATTTTTAAAACAAATTAAAATTGCAGAAGAAAATAGAGGTAAATGTTTTCTAAGTGTGTCCCTCCTCACCCAGGAGTAGAAACCATAAAATAAAAGATGGTTATAATTTCATCAAATAAAACATCTAAACATCTGTATATCAAAGAACATTATAAATAAAGTTAAATGACCACATATATGACTAGCAAAGGGTTAATACCCTGACTACATAACAAGCTCTTATAAACCAATAAGAAAACACTGGGTAGCTCAATAGAAAAATGGGCTAAGAACATCAATGCCTTTAGAGAAAAGAAATGCAGATGCCACTTTGTTTCATGTTAAATTCCCGTCTACATTGTGATCCACTTCTCTCTACACTTCCCTTTGGCTTGATCATCTAACCTATCCTAGCTGTCCCTTTATGTTTTTAAATCCGGTAGGCTCCCTGGCAGCCTTTCACCATTGTTTCTCAAATCCTTCTCTAGATTCTTGCGCACAGCCTCTCCTTTCCAGCCTGGCTGGTTTACCATCTCCACTTAGACCTTTTCCCATCCTACACCCCTTTCTCTCTCTCATCTCCCAGTTGTACCAGGTCAAGGCCGGTGCCCTTGACAACACTCCATGCCACAAGGAGCACTTCCTCCTCTACCTCCCTGATAACATTTATTGGATTCCCACTCAGTAGTTATATTACTTCGTGGCATTTATTCTGCTATTTTATTTTCCTAATTGCTATTTGGTCTGCTTGTTTACTCTGTAAGCTTCTTGCAGGCCCCAGTTCTGTCTCACATTTCTTTATATCCTCTGCTGTGCTGTTCGGTACAGTAGCCACTCACCCCATGTGCCTGCAGAGCACTTAAAATGTGGCTTTTTCCAGTGGAGACCGTGCTATAAGCACAAGACACACTGCAGTTCAAAGACTCAGTACAAAAGAATAAGTTATGATTTTTATATTGACTAAATGCTGAAAGAATATAATGTTCTTGGATATATTTGCTTATATAAAGCAAGTATTAAAATTGGTTTCACCTGTTTCTTTTTTTTTTTTTTTGCTTTTTAATTTTTTATTTATCTTTTTTTTTTGAGACAGGGTCACCCAGGTGAGAGAACAATGATGTTGAGGCGGGAGATTAGTAAAGGGAACACAGGTGGCACTGAAAGAGCTCAGGTGTCGGAAACAATAGGAACAAAATTAGGGTTATAGATCAATGAGGACAAAAGCTGTGGTCGAGCTGCAGACTGCACCCATTGTAGATACACCTCGCTGGCTCCGGCCTGGGGAAAGTCCGCGGGAGCCACCTGCGCAGATGGAGGGTAAGAGTGTCGGCAAGTGAGCCTGACGTCATTATACCGTCATTACCGTGGGTTAGCCTCGCAGCTTCCCGGTCCTCCTTTCCCCGCCCATGGGCTTTGAAAGCCACGACACATCCGGGCCTGAACTAAAAAAAGTAAAACACTCCCCCGCCCGACTGATGGGAGGAGATAACATCCCCATTGGCCAGGGGACTGCGAGCCAAGAATGAGGAAGTCAGGAGAAAGAAAAGGAGAACCTCAAGGAGACCGCAGGGCCACTGTCCGCTCGGACTTGTTCCTGCTCCTGCCCGCTTTTGGAGTGTATTATCGCTTGCTAATCTTTCTTGACACGACCCCCCAACCCACCGCCATGTCTGGAGGTATACTTGCTCGATACATTTCTTTCACCGCTTTACTGCTTTGGTGTTCGGTTTCAACTCTTTGTGTCCGGGCACAAGGACTGGGGACGGTCACTCTCCGGTAACAGTGTGATCATAGCTCACTGCAGCCTGGAACTCCTGGGCTCAAGTCATCCTCCCGCCTCAGCCTCCCAAAGCACTGGGATTACAGGCGTGAGCCACCGTGCCTGGCCTTTTTTTTTTTTTTTTGCTTTTTAAATGAGGATCCAAAAATTTTTCAGTGACACCCGTAGCTCACCTGTGGGGCTCGCTTTATGTTTCTGTTGGATAGCGCTGGTCTAGAGCACCCGATAGTAATCCGCACGCAAGAGGTGCTCCCAAATCCTTGGTTATTTGAGATGAATGAAAAAAAAAACCCAGCCCATTTCATCTGAGCAGTTTTCACTGTCACTCCTTTTTCTTGGTTGGTGGGGAGCAAGGTGCTGCTAATTTGTATCCCCACTAGGTGGGACCCAAATCCAAGAAACAGAAATTAATTAAAGAAACTCATACAAATGTGAAATAAATGCTAGCTCCACATGCAGTCTTCTAACTTTGTAAAATGAAAGACCTGATTTAGAAAGAGGAAGACTGAAAGAGAGAGGGAGAGAAAGAGAACAAGAGATCTGAATAACAAATGGGACTTTTAGGAAACGTTTAAGTAGTTAGCCTCATCTAAATTTAAAACTTTTGCCATTAAACCCCGGGTGGTGTGGCCGAAGAGGATAGCTTAAGCCCAGGAATTAGAGACTAGCCTGAGCAACGCTTCAAGTCAAAATACAATAGAAAAATTAGCTGGGCATGGTGGCTCACACCTGTAGTCCCAACTGCTGGGGAGGGAGGCTAAGGCAGGAGGGTCTCTTGAGCACAGGAGCTCAAGGTTGCAGTGAGCTATGGTGATGCCGCTGCACCCTAGCTCAGGCAACACAGTGAGACCCTACCTCGAAAAATAATAATAAATAAAAAATAAAACTTTCATCATTAAATGGTAAAATAAATCTGTTTCAAAACCAAAATTTGAAGATGAAAAATAAAAGTTGTTTTCTACTACAGAAAACCAAAGGAATTCAGAAGACGAGCATTTCAGTGGGCAAAAAAATGTTAAATGGATTCTTTTGGCCAAATTAATAGCAAATGAGTTTGACAAACTCACCTCTTACTGACACACTGGTGAGGATCTTCCTGACTGCTGGCTTTTTTCTCCCTCTCTCTGCTTCCTTCCTTTTCTTCTTAATTCTCCTTCCCTTAGGTTTTTTTCCTTTCTTCCATTCCTCTCCTTTTGTTAGAGTAGGTAGTCAGCTAAGTATGACCAGGGGAGGAGGGAACGGCAGTTGCTGCCTTGAAGTTGCTCTCTTTCTTGGGCCTGTACTCTCGCAGCTGCTCGAGCCTTTCCTAAGCCTGTCCCCTTTCACTCAGTAAACTTGCCACCATCACTGGCTTGTGTGCACGTCCTGAAATTCCTTTCTGTGACATTAGCAAGAACCTTTATGCCAGTGACACCTTCATATATCTCTCTCGCCTAACTAATCAAGACATTAAAGTACATTACTCATTTACTTCTTTAATTCTCCTAGAATTTATTTTTAATATAATATGGCATAGAGATCTAACTTTTTTTTTTTTTACAGTTAACAAGAGCACTATTTCTTGAATACACACCATTGTTTGCTTCTTGATTTGTATTGACAGTAACAATGATTGTTACTGAGAGCTGGATATGGGCAAGGCAATGTTTTGAGAGCTTTGCCTATATTTAAATTGCTGGTTATTATTAACAGAAAAAAACAAACTCTGTAAAGTAATTTAAAGAGGTTTATTCTGAGCCAATATGAATGACCATGGGAGGGGTGGGGAGGGACACAAACCCAAGAACCCTTGAATGAGTGGTCCCAAGGTGGTCAGATGACAGTTTGGTTTCATACATTTCAGGGAGGCAGGAGTTACAGGCAAAGACATACATCAATACATGGAAGGTATACATTGGTTTGGCTCAAAAAGGCAGCATATCTTGAAGGGGGAGGGGAGGTGCTTACAAGCCTTGGGTGGATTTAGAGATTCTTTAATTTGCAACTGGTTAAAGGAATAAAGCTTTATCTAAAAACTTTGAGTTAGCAGAAGAGAAGTCTGGGTCAAAATGACCTGTTTAGCAAGGCTTTCAGGTTTAATCCTTAACTGCCATTGCTTCAGGCCTTGTTTATAATTTGGTATCTTATTGCCACAAAGAGTCTGTTTTGTCAGTCTTGTGATCTCTGTTTTAACATTAATGCTGGTCAGTAGTGTCTCAGCTCTAAAAGGGAGGGGTTGTGAGGCATGTCCAACCTCCCTTCCTTCCAGTCATGGCCAGGAACTCAATTTTAAGGTTTTTTTGGGTCTCCTTGGCCAAGAGGGGGTCCATTCAGTTGATGAAGAGCTTAGGGTTTTATTTTTAGTTTACATTGTGTTTCTTGAATACAGGTTTTCCTCATTTTTATGATTCATTAATTCTTTTATTAGCCCATTAGAAAACAGAAAGTTGCTCTTCTACTTGTGTCCCTGATTTTTTTGTCTCTCTGGGAATTCAGAATCTTCTACTTTAAGACTGGAGGAGGAGTTAGTGAGACCAAGAAATTCCACTTTTCCATTTCTCACCAGGAATGTCATTTATAGGTGTCTTTCAGGTTGCAGAAAAGATGGAAAAAAGGACATGTGCACTCTGCCCCAAAGATGTCGAGTATAGTGTCCTGTACTTTGCACAAACAGAGAATATAGCTGCTCATGAAAATTGTTTGGTAAGTTACCCGAAAACTTCCTTGAAAGTACAGAAGTACTTCTAGGGTAGAACATACCAGAATAGATAAATGGTGCTTTGAATACAAAGAATAATAAGTTAACCATGGTTTGAGCTTTTAAGTGAGGATTTGGGGAGCTTATTTTTCTAAGTTTGAACTGTTTCAGACCTTATCATTTTAGGGTTACTTTTAATTTTATTTATAACTGGTCAAACACACAAAGAAAATGAATTATGGTGAAGAAGCTTCTTTAAAAATATTTTAATGAAATATTTCATATATAACAGACAGCCATAGACCTTCTAGCTAGATATAATTTCTATCAAACTCTATATATTTTTGAGATTTGTCCATATTGGTGAATATAGCTCTAAGTCTTTCATTTTAAATATAGTGTTCCATTTCATGACTATAACACCATTTAAATATTCTTCTGTGAGTGGACATTTTTTCCAGTTTTTTTTTTTCTATGACTAATAAGTTGTCATGAACATTCTTGTCTAGGTCTCCTTATATATGTGAGAACTTCTCTGGTCTAGGGCATAGCTAAGAGCGGAATTGCTGGGGCACAAGGAGGGGACATTTTGCACTTCACTAAATTTGCCAAATTGTTCTCCAAAAAGATTATTCCAACTGTGACTTCCACCATTGTTTCAGAGTATGTTTCTCTTCATCCTTGCCAACATTTGATATTATGAGATTTTAATTTTTTCCTCTCTAATAGGTGTGAAACGGTATCTTATTTTCATTTGCATTTCCTTGGTTCCTAGTGGGATTGCATATCATTTGATGTGCTTATGCACTGTTTGGTTTCTGCTTCTGAGAATGGTGTGTTCACAGGCTTTAATTATCTTTGAGACTTTTTTTTTTTGCTTATATGTATTTATTTATATAGAAATAGATCCTAATGCTTCATTACATATGTTGGCTTTTAATTTTACTTATAGTGTTTTCTGTCAAACAGACACTTATACCTGTAGTTAAATTCATTATTATTTTCCTTTATAGTTTGGGGTTTTTTTCCCCCTAAGAAATTCTTTTCTGTACTAAGATTCTACCTTTTCCCCCCAAAGTTTTAAAATTTTGCTTTTCTCATTTAGTTTCTTACTCCAGCTGGAATTTTGCTATTGTATAAAGTAGAAATCTAATTTTATTTTACCACATGATTAACAACTTTCCCCAGCACTATTTATTGAATAATCTATCCCTTCCTTTGGATTTGTAGTTATAATTCCTAAGGATTTGTAATAATAATAATGATAGCTGTTATTATTATTTGGTGTTCACTGTGTGCAAGGTAATGTTCTGGGAGCCTTACCTACATTAAACTATTAATCCTCACAGCAACCCTAAAAGGTAGGTACCGTTACTATTCTCAAACTAAAAATGAAACCACTGAGGCACAGAGAGATTAAGTCCCTTTTCCAAGGTCCTGCAGCTAGTAAGTGACTGAGCCAGGATCCTCACCCAGGTAGTCTAGTTCTAGAACCCTCAAGCTTTAGACCTAGAGTGGTAATAACATATGTCATGTGCGTGTGGGTCTGTTTTGGTTTTCTGTCCCTGTTTTGGTATAACGCTGTCTTAATTACAGTCAGCCTTCCACATCTGCTGCTTCAACCAACTGCAGATTGAAAATATTTGGGAAAAAAACACACTAAAAACTAACAATACAACAATTTTTAAATTACAAATTTTTAAAAAATATAGTATAACAACTATTTATGTAGCATTTACATTGTATTAGATAAGTAATCTAGAGATGACTTAATGTACAGATGCTCCTAAACTTAGGATGAAGTTATGTCCCCATAAACCCATTGTAAGTTGAAAATACCATAAATCAAAAATGCATTTAATACACCTAACTTACCAAACGTCATAGCTTAGCCTAGCCTACCTCAAACATGCTCAAAACACTTACGTTAGCCTACAGTTGGGTAAAATCATCTAACACAAAGCCTGTTTTATAATGAAGTGTTGAATATCTCAAGTAATTTATTGAATACTGTCCTGAAAGTGAAAAACAGAATGATTGTATGAGTGCTTGAAGTACAGTTTCTGCAGATTTTCCCAGTACCGTAAAGTAGAAAAAATCCTAAGTTGAACCATTGTATATGGGGGCCCATCTGTATACACGGGGAGGTATGTAGGTTATATCCAAATACTACGCTATTTTATGTATAAGGAGCTTGAGCATCAGATTTTGTCAGGGATTGCTGGATCCAGTCCCCCGAAGATACTGAAGGACACCTACACTATGGCTTTAGAATAAGCCTTGGCTATTGTTTTGGTGCGTTGAATTTTGGGATCAGTTTTTCAAATTTCACAAAAATTCCATTTAATTTTTAGATGAAGAGGAAAAAATAGACACCCTCATGATATATGAGTCAGTAATTTTTTTTTCTCTATAGAGGTCTAGAACTTTGGGTTAGGCCTGCTGGGTTTCTTTTTTGTTCTGTTTTATTACTTTTTTCTTATACCTTTTTAAATGAGCTATTATCTGTATATTTAAACTCTGTTGATTTTTATTTATCTCATCCAGCAACCTTCCCAAATCTTATTAGTTCTAAAAGTCTCTAGATGCATCTGGATATTGTATCTGCACAACCCTCATCTGTGAATAAAGGCAATTTTATTTATTTACCTTTAATTTTGGGGCCTCTTAATTTCTTTTTCTTGTTTTATTGCATTTCTAGAACATTCTATCATACTGGTGATTAGAAGCAGTTAAAGTAGGGAACCCTGTCTTGTTTCAGATGTCGATGGGATGTTTCTAAGGTCTTACCAATAAATTTCTGTATGCTTTAGGTTTTTAATGGTTTCATTTTATTAAAATAAGGAAGTTACCTTTTATCTCTAGTTTGCTAAAAATTAGAATATTGAATATTATGAAATGCTTGTTCTGCATCTGTTGAAATGATCTGGGTTTTCTTTCTCTGTCTTACTGTGGCTACAAACAGGCTGGAATCTTTATTTCATTTTACTTTTAATGTACGTAATTTAATGGTTTTTTTAAAATCTCAAACTTATAGAAAAGTTACACATATAGTGCAAAAAACTTTGTTTTTGATCAGAATCACTTTAAGTTAAATGATTTGTCATGTCTCCTGAATACTTTGTATTTTCTACATACGAAGACATACACTTACATAATCACAAAATAGCCATCAAAATTAGGAAATTAATATTATTACATTACTACCACCTCATCTTCAAACCACTCTGGTTTCACCTGTTGTACTAATAACATTCTTTATAACAAAGGATTCCAGTTCATGGGTTGCATTTAGTTTTCATGTCTCAGGTTTTTCCCTTTTAATGTTAGTAATGTGTGAGGTACTTATATTTTTCTGCTGTTAAACCATTCTGAAATTAACACTATTTGATCATGATATTTTATTCTAAACAGTATACTTTTGATGTTGATTTGCTACTATTTTTAGCTAAAAATTATTGGTATAATTTGCATAAAACAAAATACACCCATTTTAAGTGTCAAGTTTGAAAAGTCTTGAGACATGTACACATCCATGTGACCACTACCGCGATCAAGCTATAGAACATTGCCATTACCTCAGAAGGTCCCTCGTCCCTGTTGCCATTAATCCTTTCTACTCCAAGTCCCTAAAGATTGGCCTTATCAGGCTGCGTGTGGTGGTGTGTGCCTATAGTCACAGCGCTTTGGGAGGCTGAGGCAGGAGGATCCCTTGAGCCCAGGAGTTTGAGGCTGCAGTGAGCTATGACGACGTCATTGCACTCCAGCTTAAGCAACGGAGAGAGACTGTATCTCAAAAAAAAAAAAAAAAAAAATGGGTCTACCTTTTCTCAACTTTCATACAAATGGAACCCTACAATACGTACTCTTTTGTGTCCTGTTTCGTTTCTCAGCACAGTGTTTTGGAGATTCATCCATGTCATTGCCTATATGTGTATTTCGTCCCTTTTATTTCTTCCTAGTATTCAATTGAGTGGATATATCACAATTTGTTTTTCCATTCACCTTGGATAGACATATGTGTTATTTCCAATTTAGGGCTATTATGATAAAATCTGCAATGAACATCTGTTTATGAGTCTTAGTGTGGACATAGGCTTTTATTTCTCTTGGGTGAAGACATAGAAGTAGAATTGCTAGGTCATAAAGTAAGTATATATTTAACTTTAAAATTGATTGTGTCATTTGACACTTCTGCCAAAAATATGGCAGAATTTCATTTGCTCCACATCCTCAACAACGCTTGGTATTTTCAGTCTTTTTATTTTTGGCCAGTCTAGTGTGTATGTATTGGTATCTCGTGGTCTTATTGCCTGAGGGTTGATGATATTGAGCAACTTGGCATGTATTTATTTGCCATTCATAAATCTGTTATAAAGTGTGCATTCAGATTTTTTGCCCACTTTTAATTGAATTGTTTGTCTTATTATTGAGTTGTGAGTTTTTTCTATATTCTGATAGAAGTCTTTTGTCATATATATGTATTGTGAACATTTTCTCCCAATCCCTGGCTTGCCTTTGTTTCTTATCGTTGTCTTTCAAAGAGCAAACAATTTTTATTGTGAAGTCCAACTTATTAGCTTTTTCTTTATGGTTTCTGCTTTTTATAAGAAATTTTTGCTTGAAGCTCTGACTAGGGTGGGGCAAGGGCAATATACATAACCTAAACATTACCCTCATAATATGCTGGAATAAAAAAAAATTTAAAAATATTAAAAAAGATCCAAAGGGAAAAGAAAAAGAAATTTTTGCCTGTGCCAATGTCACAAAAATTTTCTCTTTCATGCCCTTTGTTATTTGAATTATATGTAACACTGATCTTTTTTTTTTTTTTGAGACAGTCTCACTCTTTTACCTGGGCTAGAGTGAGTGCCGTGGCGCTGGCCTAGCTCACAGCAACCTCACACTCCTGGGCTCAAGCGATCCTTCTGCCTCAGCCTCCCGAGTAGCTGGGACTACAGGCATGCGCCACCATGCCCG